GAAATGTACATACATTGCTGGTGGGACTGCAAATTGGTGCAACGGCTATGGAAAGCAGTATGGAGCTTCCTCAGAAAACTCAGAATAGAACCACCATTTGACCCTACCATCCTACTCTTCAGTTTATACTCGAAGGACTTAAATCAGCATACTATAGTGATGCAGCCACATCAATATTTATAACAGTTCAATTCACAATAGCTAAACTATGGAACTAAACTAGGTGTCCTTCAATAGATGAATGGATAATGAAAATGTGATATATATATATATAATATATATATATTATATATATATATATTTCCCCCAATGGAATATTACTCAGCTTTAAAGAAGATTGAAATTATGTCATTTGCTGATAAATGGATGAAGTCAGAGAATATCATGCTAAATGAAATAAGCCAATCCCAAAAAAACAAAGGCCAAATGTTTTCTCTGGATACTAATTCACAATAAGAGGAGAGCATAGGGAAGAATAGAGTTACCTTAGATTAGCTAGAGGGGAATGAAGGGCGTCGAGGAGAGGGGATATGGGCATGGGAAGGATAGTAGAATGAAACAGACATTATTACTTTATGTGTATATATGATTGCATGACTAATGACAACGCATACAATCAGAAAAATGAGAAATTATACCCCATCTATCATATATCAAAGTGCTTAAATGCATTGTATTGTCATGTATAACTAATTAGAACAAATTTAAAAATTTTTAAAAAATATATTTTTGTAGTTGTTGATAGACCTTTATCTTTTATTTATTCATATGCAGTTCTGAGAAATGAACCCAGTGCTTCACACATGCCAGGCAAGTGCACTACTGCTGAGCCACAGCCCCTGCCCCAAATTTTAAATTTTTTAAAAAAGAATGGGCTGGGGTTGTGGTTTCGTGGTAGAGCACTTGCCTAGCACATGTGAGGCACTGGGTTCCATTCTCAGCACCACATATAAATAAATGAACAAAATAAAGACCCATCAACATCTAAAAAATATTTTTTAAAAATGGCCATACTAATAAAAGCAATATACAGATTCAATGCAATCCCTACCAAAATACCAATGATAATTTTCATAGAACTAGAAAAAAAATAGTCCTTTTATACATTTGGAAGAATAAGAGACCCACCGTAGCTAAAGCAATTCTGAACAAGAAAAGTGATGCGGGAGGCCTCTCAATATCTGATCTCAAATTATACTAACAGAGCTATTGTTTTCCACAGGTTTTTTTTTTTGCTGCTGTGACTAAAGGATCTGACCAGCATAACTGTAGGGGAGGAAAAGTTTATTTAAAGGCTCACGGTCTTTGTCCGGCGAAAGCTGGTTCCATTCCTCAGGGCTCAAGGTAAGGCTGAACATCCTGGCGGAAGAGAGTGGCAGAGGAAGGCAGCTCACATCATAGTGATCAAGAAGCAGACTCCAGCTCCAGATTTGAAATATACACCCCATAGCCACGCCCCAAATTAAGCAGTTCCTCCAGCCACACCCCACTCGCCTCTAGTTACCACCCAATTAATCTCATCAGGGATTCATTCACTGATTGGGTTAAGACTCTCGCAATCCAATCATTTCTTCTCGGAAACTTCTTGTATTGTCTCATGAGCTTTTAGGGGACCCCTCATATCCAAACCAGGACAGTTACCATAGCAAAAACAGTATGGGACCTGGCATCAAAATAGACATGAAGACCAATAGAATAGAAGAGAAGACACAGAGACAAACCCATATAAATATAGTCATCTGATAATTAACAAAGGTGCCAAAGCAATGCTGAAGAATAGATAGTATTTTTAGCAAATAGTGCTGGGAAAACTGGATATCCTTATGTAGAAGAATGAAATTACATCCCTATCTCTCATCCTGCACAAAAGTCAAGTCAAAATGGATCAAAGACTTAGGAATTAGATCAGAAACTGTGTAGCTACTAGAAGAAAACATAGGTTCAACACTCCATCTTACAGATATAGGTACCAAATTCCTCCACAAGAACCCTACAGTTCAAGAACTAAAACCAAGAATCAGTAAGTGGGATGCCATCAAATTTAAAATCTTCAGCACAGCAAAGGAAATGATTGAGAGAGCAAAGAGAGAGCCTACAGAATGAGAGAAAATCTTTGCCAGCTGATCCTCTGACAGGGGATTAATACCCAGAATATATAAAGAACACAAAAATCTCAGTGCCCCCCCAAAAAACCCCACAAACAACTCCTTCAATAAATGAGTAAAAGAACTAAGCATAAATTTCTCAAAATAAGAAACACAGATGGCCAAAAAGATATGAAAAAATGTTCAACATTTCTAGCAATCAACTAAATGCTAATTAAAACTACATGAAGATTTTAATTTCACTACAGTTAGAAAACCAATTATTAAAAAAACAAGTAATAATAAATGCTGATAAGGAGTTGGGGAAAAACACATTGGCATATTGTAGGTGGGACTGGAAGTTAGTGTCACCACTCTGGTTGTGTGGGGATCCTCAAAAAATCTAGGAATGGAACCACCATATGACCCAATTATCCCACTCCTTGGTATATATCCAAAAGAACTAAAATCAGCATAGAGCAAAACAGCCATTTCCATGTTTATAGCAGCACAACTCACAATGGCCAAGCCATGAAACCAATCCAGATGCCCATCACTAGTCAAATGGATTAAGAAAATGTGGTCTATACACAATGGAGTTTTACTCAGCCAGAAAGAATGAAATTATGGCAATTTCCAGTAAATGAATGAAAATGGAGAAAATCATGCTGAGTGAAATAAGACAGACAAAATCCTGGGTTGAATGTTTTCTTTCATAATTGGAAACTAGAACAAAGTAAGAAGAATGAGAGGGAAAGAGGAAGGAAGGGAAAGACAAAGAAATAGGATGAATTAAACAAAATCTTGTTATACACATATAAATACACCAAAGGGAATTTAACCTTTATGTATACATAGAAGAAGGGCAGTTTATAGTAGAGTAGAGGGGGAGGAATAGGGGAAGGGAGGAGGGGAGGACCAGGGAGGAGGAAATGGGGATTAGAAATAAAATTTTCTTGTGTATCATTTAGTCAAAATGAATCCAAATACTATGTATGATCACAATGCTAAATAAATAATTTTAAAAAGTCCAAGGAAAAAAAGAATGTATTTATTTAAAAAACAAATTGAATATAAAAGGTGAAGATAATTAGATAAAAATAACATGAAATTCTCCACCAGATCATAAGTATTCCATTGGTAAACTTCCTTCCAGAGATAGCAATGCACAACGTGTATTTACACTTTAATGGACCTAGAATCCTACTCTATGCACAGACTGCTAATTGCCTGCCAGATATGTATTCTTATCTCCCTTGGTAACGGGACCCCTGGTAATATGCCCAGGAGAAATTCCATTTTTAAGTCTTCCCAGAAAAGCTGTTGTGGTCTTTCCCTAGGATATCTTGACCACTGGCATGATGGCTGGAGCTCTGGCAGCTATAAGGTGGCTAATGGCATAATATACTACCTCTCAAGGATGGCAGAGCAGAAGACTAGAAGATCTGAACCTCCAATGATTTCAAGGAACAGGACTCAAACCTGAACTGTCTGCCTATAATTTTTTCTTAATGTTAGAGATTTGTTTATTATTTATGAATAAACAAGTGGTTTATTCATCCACTTGTTTAAGCCTTTAAGCTTAAATAGCTATGTATACTTGTGTACCTTTTCAAGTTAATGTCTAAAATTTCTTTAAGTTTAAATAGTTGCAAAGAATGTAATTGTTACTGAAATTGTTAATATTAAACTATTGCATCACTCCTTAAAATTTGTTCAAAGCAGTATAAATTTCTTTCCAACATTCACCTCCATCTATTTAAAAATATATGAATGAAATCTCTGTTAGCAGTTAAATTTCAAATCATTTAGTTTTTTCTTGAGCTCTAATTTCTATCTTATGTATTTTAGAGGATTTCATCCTACGTATTTTTCTGCTTGAAAGTCTTTAAAATATCTTTTGTCTCTACAATAAAATAGGACACATACACACATTAAAATGCTTTTGTGCTTCTTCTGACCATCAATCTCTGAGGGTTAAAAATTTGTTCTGGATTGAGCTACATTAAAATCTTGATGAATATGTGACCAAAGCATCATAAGTCCATTTAAAAAACTTTTAAATAATAAACATAAAAGAAAGAATAGGAATGCATATGAATAAGATGAATAGAACAAGTTTTCAACTAATTAGCTTATTTATCCATAGATGACTATTACTTATTGCTACAATGAGGATTCAACTAATTTTTCTTCCTGCTTATTGTTTTTATATAGAATTGAGTACTAATAAACCTGCTCTTATAAAGAACAGCACATGCTTATTATAGCAATGTCATGATTCTTTAAACATTTTATGAATTACATACTGAAAAATCACAAAATGTGTATTTTAATATTCTACAGATAATACTTCAGTTACATATCCCATAGTTTTGTTGAAATTAGAAATCACTGACTTGCAAAGGATTTACAATCCAATCGTTAGAGTAATCCACATTTTCAATTTCTGGGAAGTGTTTCAAAAAGACTGTGTACAATGACCCACCAAATATCTGTTAATTACCCTCTCATACAAAGGGGCGTTTGTTTAAATTGCTATTCACAAGGAGTTAGGAAAGATCCAAACATAAATCTCGTTGGCTCTTATCAGCATAGTATTTTTATGAAATGCTTTTTTTTCTGAGAGCAAACTATAAACATATTTTCACCCACACCTTGGGAAATGTCCACCGAATACCCTAGATGGCAAAGCTAGTTCTCATTGCCAAACCAATTAGCCAAGTCAAGTTTCCAATTTTGAAGTATGTCACTCATTCAGACAAGTGCCCTAAGCAGAATTCTACAGGTCAATGGATTATTGAGAAGCAAATGCAAATCATCATCCTTCTTTGCTGGCATCCCACAAACCCCACTCACGTCCTTTTCCCCTCCTCCATCCTTCCCCCAGAGGAAACTACTCTCCTGACCCATATGGCAAGTACAATTTTCTTTATCATTCTTCAGTAATCATTTCTACACAATGCAGTAAGTTTGGCTTCATTTGGAATTTTTATAAGTGGAAATCTTACAGTTTTTCATGCATCTTCACCTTGTGCTTGAGAAGTTCACATACGTACTTACATGTATCAATAATATATTCATTTTCACTTTGGCATTGGTGTTGGTTGTATTAAATAACCAGAATATATTGTTTCATCCTGCCATTAATGGACATGAAGACTGTTTCCAGGTTGATACTGTAACAAATCCTGTTGATATGAATGTGCATTTCTGTTCCACCTAGAAGCAGAATTGCTGGATACTAGAACATGCCTACCTTCAACCACAGCATGTGGTGACCAAGGTTTTCTAAAGTGGCTGAGTTGCAGAGTGCCCTTCACGTTAGTGCTCCCTGTACCACACCAGTCACGCTTACAAGGATCTGAGAAGAGGTTGATTTTGGCTGACAGTTCTGGAGGCTTTGATCCATGATTGGCTCTCATGCTTTGGGGCTGTGGTGGCACATAATGGTGGCAGTGCATTGTGGAGCAGAACAGCTTGTCTCCTGGCAGGGAAGTGAAAGAGAGAAAGAAGAAGAGACCAAGGTCCTACAGTCCCCTTAGTGGGCATGCCCCCAACGGCCTGAGGACCTCCCACCTCTTGAAGGTTCCAGCACCTCTCACCAGTCATTTTTTTCAGTGCTGAGGATGTAGCCCAGGTCTTCTCGTAGGCTGGGCGGTGCTCTACCACAGAGCTACACCTCCAGAAATAATGCTTAACAATTTTAATTATCATTATTATTTTAGAAATGACTTTTAGTCTAGAAGGGTGTTTACTTTGGCAGAGGATTTTACTCCTTCCAGACGTCTGGGGGCACTAGTTGTCCTAGATAACCTTGGTCCAGCTGTGGGGACTGAGATTGTTGAAATCTTCCTTTCGGTGGCTTCAGGAGTTACTTTATTTCTCTCTTACTCCTAGGTACAGTGGCTTTGGTGGGTCCTGGTAGACTGCTTCTGTCCCCTTAGCATTGTGAGGTCACCAGAAGCACTTTCCAGCCTCTTGCTCTCTCTGCGTCTCTTCCAGAATCACTAATGTCTCCAGGAGCCAGTGGACCAACCTCTGCTCCAGGTTCCTCTCTCCACCTGCATCTTGGCTGGGCTGTTAGTTTTCTTTCTGCTTCCCCTCCTCCTCCTCCTCCTCCTTCTGCTGCTGCTATTGTTGTTATTATTAGTATTATTAGTCTCTTCTCAATTTTGCTCTCTTCTATCACGTGGATAAAACATACTTTGAAAACACTGATGTCCCCTTTTATATTTCACTTCATCTATCTTTTAATTGGAAAGTGGGTTAAAAATACTCAGTCTACCATTAGCACCAGATTTAGTTGGTTCCCTAAAATTGGGAGTAATTTACATACATAAAAATTGGAAACCCTGTGTATAACTCAATAGACCTGTCCTGATGTATACACATGTCTATACAAATGGGATCACTTATTTGTATTTTGAGTAAATGTATTAATCTAGTTAATCCCAAGCAAACCTTCCCACTCCTTGAATTTTCATGCTAAGACAGAAACGTGCCGTGAGTTTGTCACCAAGTAATACAAGATGTTGCTGCTTTCAATATTTCTCACTCACAGGGTTTTTTTTTGTTTGTTTGTTGGTTGGTTTTGATTTTGTTTTCACTCATGCAGCATCTCTTCAGGGGTCCTGTAGTCTTTGTCCATACTTAGAGTATGGAAGATGTGAAAGATTAAATGAAGATTGTCATCACCCTACACGATATATGACTTCAAATTCTGCCAGGATTGGCCAAAATGTCCCATTTATTTCTCATTTTTTCTCATCATGCATTTCTGCATTATTTAAAATTTTTTGGCTTTCTGAGATGGTGTGATACATTTCCATGACCAGTGCATGTTCGTCGCCTTGTTCTGCTCAAGTGAAGCACAGTATCCCTTTGTATGGAAGAACACTATTATTAAACTAATCCACTACAGAAAGATATTTAGGATTTTTTTTCTGTCAGGTTTTTGTTATTTAAAATGCTGCTGTAAATGTACTTGGATGCATTATGTTTTATTGACTCTCGGATACAAATTTTCTGTATTTTGATATCTGTATGTTGATATTACAATTGCAGTAACAGTTAGACAGGTGCGTGACAGGAGCTTACCTCCCATGGTCCGTTGGACATCCAGTTGGTCTTAGCTGACCACAGAGTGGTTACTTCCTACTTAGTGGTGAACATTAGTGGTACTGTTTATGTCTTGAGTTTAATTGCCTATTAAAACTTTTTCAAAAAGTTTACACTATAAGGTGACATAGGCTCAAAAGTTACTGTATAGAATCCATGGAAACAGAACAGCAAGGTGTTAGCCCAAATATCAGCATCAGAATGGGGGTCAGTGGCTTTTAAGAAGATCCTGGAAAGAGAGGAGTGCATTTTAATTAGGATGCCTCACCCAAATTCTGCAATACATAATCCTATGCAGCATATTGGATGCTGTGGCATGGAAAAACACAGACACTGCTAACTCCTAGTTGAAAGATGATTAAGAATGTTGTAGAGCAAATTCATGGGAATTTTAGGAATGTCTTAATCAATTTTCCCTACTTTTTTTGGTTGTATGATATATGACAAAAAAATTATGTTTGTGTTGGTCTGAAAAAGCTCTTTCAACTATAAATAATTCTGCCATATAAGAAAATTGTGAAATAGTTTATTTGGCAGGAATTTTTTGTCTTAATAATATATAAATATAAGAAAGATATATTAGGTTCAATGAAATGTACTTTATCTTTGCATATTGAGCAGAGCAAAATACCCTATTTTTTTTATTTGTTCTTTTTAGTCATACATGACAGTAGAATGTATTTTGATATACCATACTTAGGTGGAGTATAATTTCCCATTCTTGATGTGGAGTTACACTGGTTATGTATTCACATACAAACATAGGAAAGTTATGTATGATTCATTCTACTATTTTTCCCATTCCTATCCCCCTTCCCTTCTCCCCATTCCCCTGTGTTCAATCCAGAGAACCTCCACTCCTCCCTAATACCCCCTCCCTGCCTATTGTGAGTCAGCATCTGCATATCAAACAGAACACAGGGTCTTCGGTTTTCCGGGATTGTCTTATTCACTAGTAAATGCCACAATTCAATTCTTCTTTCTTATTTGTGGCTGAGTAATACTCCATTATGTATATGTTCTGCGTTTTCTTTATCCATTCATCTGTTGAAGGGCACCCATGGTTGGTTCCATAGTTTGCCTTAGTGTCATTTGAGCTGCTATAAACATTGATGTGCCCAGTCAATATAGTGTGCTGATTTTACTTCCTTTGGATATACACTAAGGAGTGGGACAACTAGATCAAATGGTTGTTCTGTTCCAAGTTTTCTGAGGAATCTCATAATGCTTTCCAGAGCGGTTGCACCAATTTACAGCCCCACCAGCAATGTATGAGTGAACCTTTTCCCCCACATCCTCGCCAACATTTATTGTTACTTACATTCTTGATAATTGCCATTCTGACTGTATTAAGATGAAATCTCAGTGTAGTTTTAATTTTCATTTCTCTGATTGCTAAGGATGTTGAATATTTTTTCATGTATTTGTTGGCCATTTGTATTTCTTCTTCTGTGAAGTGTCTGTTCCCTTCCTTTGCTCGCTTATTGATTGGGTTATATGCATTTCCCCCCCATATTGCAATTTGAACCAAAGTGTTCTCTAACCCTGAGCTACATCCCAGCCCTGTTTAAAATTTTTAATTTTGAGGCAGAGTCTCATTAACAAGTCACTGGGGCTGACCTCACCTTTGAGATCCTCTTGCCTCGGCCTCCCAATAGCTAATATTACATGAGTGTCTCCAACACCTGGCTAGAACCTGGGCTTTTCTAACAACAGGGAAGCTCAGCATTCTTTAGGGGAGATAAGCAGGATTGAGGCTAGTCCTGCTGTTGGAAACTGACACAAAACAGGGCAGTCATGCATTTGTTAAGTGTCTTAGAATGTCCAGGTCAAGACACAAAGCTGATGTTATTCCTTTTTCTCAAAACTTGCAAAGTATTGTTAAAATCCAGAAAATCCTGGCGGGTGAAATTCTGTCAGGATGTCTCTGGTAATTTGCCCTGGCCTTCAGCCTCTAAGACTCACAGAAGGACTTTTGCTCTCCGTTTGACCTTTTGACCTTTGACCACTGCAGACATTTTGGTTTTTCTGTTGTCACACCCTAGCTGATATGTTTAAGGTAGAGAAAGGCAGGAAGCCGTTGGGCAGCAATGGGAGCTTTGGCTTAGGGTGCCCTGATGAAGGGGTTGCTCCAGGTCACCAGGTTTGAGGGGTTCCTTGGTTGGATACCCAGGAGTGATGCGGTGTTCTGTGATTCAGGACAGGCGAGATAGACACCTTTCTTTTGAAAAGTAGAAGAAGGGCCATTGAGAAACTGAACAAGCTAATGGGAAGGAGTCAATACAGGAGGTTAGTTCTGGAAACTGATCCCCTTAGGTCCATTTTTCCTGAATACCATTTGAAATTTTTCACATAGCCATGGCCACACACATATCCTAATGAAACCATTATTTAAAGTCACTGGTGTCCTTTCCCTGCACCATCAGCTGAACACAATTCTAAATGATAAACTAATAATCACTGCTTTGTAGGATTGTTTTATGGGTGTAATTAGATAATGTATGTAAGTTCCTTAGCAACTGTTGTTTGGCATTTAATAAGAATGCTATAACTCAATTGTCAACCAATTTTGTTGCCAATTACCATACATTAATGAATATTCATGCATTCATTCAAGTATTTATTCCATGCTTTACGGTGTTCTCTGATTAAATGTTCAAGGAGAACTGGCACGGTACAAAGAACATGACATATGGCACCAACCTGAATTCTCACCTTGGTTCAACCCTTGGGAGCTGTGACATCTTGAATCTCGGTTTTTATCGTTATGTGCCTGAATTTTTCGCTGAGTTCGTCAGGAACTTGAGAAAGTGAATTTGAATGATCTCTGAAATACTGCAGAATATACACAGAACCCTGAAGATACTTTTCCAACCCCAAGGGGCTAAGGTTTGCCTTTCCATACTGCTCTCAACCCCCATCCTGGCCTCTCTCTCCAGAACTCTCTCCCGTCAATCCCAGCTCTGGTTACACACTGACTCATCTGCAGACGAGACCCAGCAGAATGTGAGGAGGTGGGGAGGAAGCCAGGGCAACTGGTTATTAAAGTCCCTCTCCTCTGGAGAGGCATCCCCACCCCACCTCCCAGGAAATGACTCTAGGCCAGCCATGGGCAAGTGTGGACCGAGTGACATGGCTGTCTTGGGTGGCTCTGGAAGGCAGGCAGGAAGGGCAGTGAAGGAGAATGTATCAGTAGGAGAGACCAAGGTTCCTTTGATTCTCTTTAGCACTTCTGAGTATGTTAAGAACAGACTCCTATTTAGTGCTGATAGGTTTTCAACACTTACACGTTTGTTACTCTCTATTTTTCCCAAGGAGAAAACTGGTCTTGAGGCCTGGAGTCTTCAGATGAACCTTAATAAATGCCTTGGTTTTCACTGTGTGCATCTGCCTAGTTGTCTCTTGGGTACTGCAGGGGATCTGCTGTGAGTAGTAGCCGACACGGAGATCCAACCAATGCTGTGAAATGTTTTCTGATGATAACACGTTTCATCCTCACAACCACCTTAGTTCCCCATTTTATAGACAGGTAAACTGAAGTCTGGAGAAGCTTAGCAAATTGCCTAGAGAGTCATAGGAAGGACAGGGTCAAAGTTGAGTCCAAACCAGAGCTCACATTCTTAGCATGCTTATGCTGCCTTGTTCAGGAGAGTGGTAGTGGGTTTCCTCCTTTTAAACATGTGTAATTGAAAGTGAGTCAGTTTAAAGATACTTCTTAAGTTAAATAAAAAGTACAAATCATATGTGGAGAGGGCCCAACTTGAGACATTTGTCCTTGGAAGATCCAAGTTGGGGAAACACTAGCTTC